TAAGAATCACCAGGAGTAAGTATTCCTTCCTATCATAATAAAAACAATCTCAATCCTATTTATCCATGAATAACTCTAAGGTGTTTAATAAATGCTTTCCAAAACTGATTTCTAGTTCTTCACAACCTTTCAAAGATCAATGACAATGGCTCAGCAACTGTTATCTGCTAATTTCTTTTAGCAGTAAATAGTAGTTCATTTGAGCCAGGTGCACTGAACTCATGAAAGGTAAGGTTGATGCCTGCTTTAAATTTCCTTATTTACCATTCCTCTCAAGATATTGCCACCAAGCCCCAGCATGGCGACTTGTCTCTTTCCCTTTTCAAACTCCCTTTCTGTTTCTTCTGCCATTAAAGTGTCAACTCCTTGAGTCCAGAGACTTTCTTTTTTTTGTGTGATTTTGCAGCTTTGCAGCTTAACTAGGGGTATAGCACTTAACAAATGCTTGTTGACTTGACCACGGATATTAACAACTACTAGCCATTTTTGTTCTGCCCTTTCCTTTCCAGAACACTCTCCTTAGCAGAAAAAAACAGAAGCAAATTAAGAATAGAGACATTCACCAAATATCATTGTTCCCTCACACAGGAAAGCAGTCTTCCTTTCTTCAATCCTCCTCTTTCCACCTCTATGGCTTAAAAAACTCTAATTTGTTATGCTTAGACTTCCTCACCAATTTCAGCTCCTTCTCAGTGTTGGCAGTCCTGATACTCCTCTTATACCCCTCCTCTAACATGTGCTTGTGCTTCCATCTTCTATAACATCTTTTAAATATCTAAGTTAGTGGGTGAGCTCCATGTGCATCCACACACATTTCTTTAGATAACTATTCTTTTTGTTACTCATTGAGATTGTTTCTTTTTATGGTTTTAGAATTAAAACCTTAAAATCATCTTCTTCCCTCCTTGGCTAACATGTCCTATAGGATGTTAGTCCATGTGATTATACCAGTTCTTTCTTTCAACTTTGTCAAACTGTCTCTCCTCAAAACAAGAATGCAAGTTAGACTATTTCCTCTTCTTGACTTTCACAAATGATAAGATCATTTTCTAAGCTAGCAATCAGTTCCTTTTTGTTGATGAGAATCAGATGTGGAACATTATTTCCATTTGTTGATTCCTCTACCTTTTGAAGGAGGAAATTAACATGAAGACAAATTAATAAATTATTACACACTTGTCTTTTAGCAGAGAGAGTATGTTTTGGATAATTGAAATTTTTCATGGAACTAGGCATGTAAGTGCCTCCTGAGTCACCCTGGGAAAGCAGAACTAGCAATGGAGTTGTGATGGAGGATAATGTATACTAGGATGAATCTAATGCATTAAGGCACTGGATATCAATACTCTTTAAGATCCTAGAAAAGGTGTTGGTTGATAACATGACTGTTCTAGGTGTAGAATATTTCCCGAACTCTTCATCTATTTCCTCTTGTTGTCCTGATGGTTTATATACTTTCCAATTATAATATTGCTTCTGTCTCTACTTATCTTTACCCAGTGCTCTCCTCCTCCCTGCATGATTCCCCTCTTTGGTTCCTAGATTTTCTCACATGAGTATAATTCATAATTTACAATACAAGGGATATATTGAAGACAGCACAGAATATAAAGTAGACAGTCTCAGAGTCAAAAAGACTTGGGCCTGAGTTCCTCTTCTGATACATACTGACCATGTGAATTTTTTTTTTTTTAGGCAACTGGGGTTAGGTGACTTGCCCAGGGTCACACAGCTAGTGTCAAGCATTTGGTCTGAGGCCGCATTTGAACTCAGGCCCTCCTGATTTCAGGGCCAGCGCTCTATCCACTGGGCCCGCTAGATGCCCCCATGAAAATTTCATAAACTCTCAGTGCCTCAGGCAACTATCTTGTACTGTCAACATCAGACCTCCAAGTGGGCCTCGAAAGAGTCTCAGAGCTGAGTCAAAGGAAGACCGTAGAGTTAGCACTGCCATTTACTTCTTGCAAGAGCTGACTAGAGGAGAAAGATTCTACCTTTCTCTTTCTGTTTGCCTTTCCTTGCAGAACCAGCAAAGGGTGTGGACCTAGGACAGCTGTGCAATCCTAGGCTCAGAGGACCTGCTTTTGGTGAAGAAACTTAATAGTATTTGAACAGCCCAGAATAGGTGTGACCTGAGTGTAGCCACCAGAAGAGAACGGGCCCTGCCAAGCAGGCGAGTAGAGAAGCCCAGAAGAAGGGCCACTATGCCTGTAAGTGTTTGGCGGTACACACTGTTCCTGATGGAAACCCAGGTCATCAAGGCCCAAAGGGCAAAACTGCCCCAGGCATATGAATCACTCACACATGTGTCTCACTAATCTATGATTTTTCAAATTTGTGCTCACTTTCCCCAGTGAACCACTGATGGGAAAATATGTGCCATGTTTATTGTGGAATGTTATGTTTTAATTACTTTTGTTTTGGCTTGTGTTTAGTAAATGTTTATGATTAATAGCTAGTGGTATAATCAACTGATGCAGAGTGAAATACACAGAACCAGAAGAACATACATGAAATTATCAAAACATAAATTTTAAAAAATCATCAGAGAAGCTGAATGGTGTGGACAAAGAGATATCCTCAGACTCAGTTCAAATCTCACCTCAGACATATAGTGGCTATGTGACTCCAGGTGAATTCTTGAGCCTCTCCATGCTCTTCTATCAGTTCCATTCTCTGAGACTATAAATACAGAACAGGTGCCAATTTGCACTGGTAGTTAATCTCCCTACATTGACAAAATTGCAAGTCTGATCCAATTTAAAAAACCAAAATGAAACCAAACTTGGAAAAACTGAAAAGTAACAGTTCCAATGAAAAGACAATAAAGTAGGGGACTAAGAAGGGAAAACCTTGCATACACTGCTAAAGTCATTGAGTTAGCTGTTTTTCTTTGTTCCTAAGTATGTTCAATCCTGGGGACAGACTAGATGAGAGACAGCCAGAAAGGACTTTGATATAAAACCAAAATAAAACATTTAAAAAATAAAATGAAGTTATGATTTGACTGAATACACCTAACATTTAGATGTTTAACTCAAGAATTTAAGAGAAAATACAGAATCCCAGAAGTGAAAGGAAACTCCAAGGTCATCTATATCAGGACAGGCATCTATTCTACAACATCTAGTCTATGTGTGACCCACAGTGATGGGGAACCTGCTATATCTGGAGGTGGCTTATTCCACTTCTGACCATCTCTAATTGGTAAGAAATTTCCCTTTACATTGAGCAACCATCTCTCTCTCTCTGAAATGTCCATTCATTATCAATCCTTGCACTTCTGATTGGTTTCCCTGAATCAAGTTTTTCCCCCACCCCATTCCATCCTCCACTCAGCTGTCAAAGTGATTTTCCTAAAACTCAGGTCTGATCTCCACTGGTACCCTATTGTCTCCAGGATCAAATCTAAAATCCTCTGTTTACATTTAAAGCCCTTTATAATCTGGTCCCTTCCTAACCTTCCAGGATCCTCATACCTTACTCTCCTCCACATATTCTGCAATCCAAAGACATTGACCTCTTTGCTATTCTTTGCAAAACACTGCATCTCCTGACTACATGCATGTTCATTGGCTATCTCCCATGCCTGGCATTCTCTCCTTTTTCATTTACTCCTCCTGGCTTCCCTGACTTCCTTCAAGTCTCAACTAAAATTCCACCTTTTGCAAGAAGTTTTTCCCAGTCTCCCTTCATGAAGCCAGTGCTTTCCCTCTGAGCTTATCTCCAATTTATCCTGTATATATCTTGTTTGTACATAGTTGTTTGTCCTTCACCCAGTCTAATAAGACTGTGAATTCCTCGAGGTCAAGGATTACCTTTTCATTTCCTTGCATTTCCAGTTCTTGGCAGAAGGCCTGGACATAGTAAACACAAATGAATACTTATTAACATGCTCTTTAGGTACAGGAAGGACAAATTTAATCCCTAAATCTTTGTTCTCCATCTAGCTCCTTCAACTGATACTTGTATGGTCCAATTTCTTATTTTTTCAACATACTGGTTGCCCTCCTCTGGACCTGTTTTGGTTTGTTGATATCATTCCTAAAACGTCGCATTTCATACTTAATATGTAGTCTGACAAGTATAGAATACAGCAGGTCTATCACTTCCCTCTTTGTGGACATTAGGCCTCTCTTAATGTAGTCTAAATTTACTGCACTAAATTTGATAGCAGCCTAATTGTTGACTCATTAAATTTAGAGACCACTATGTGCCTTAGGTCTTTTTCAGACTAACTATTGTTTAGTCTTTTATACAGGACTGTAAATGTATGCAAGAGTTTGTACTCATATACTAATTCCACTTTTATGTATATAAAATAATTTATAAGTGTGTCTATCTGCAAATGACTAGACTGTGTGTTGCAAAAATAGAAGGCCTCTTAGGGCCACTGAAAAGAATGAGAAGTATTAGCTCTGAGAGGATACAGAAAAGAAACAAGTGGTTATTCAAGTGAGAATTATTGCTGTCTTTCAAACTCATCAAGGCAAACTTCTTTTTTTTTTTTGGGCAACTGGGGTTAAGTGACTTGCCCAGGGTCACACAGCTAGTAAGTGTCAAGTGTTTGGTCTGAGGCTGGACTTGAACTCAGGTCCTCCTGACTTCAGGCAAACTTCTTAAAATGTATCTCAAGGGTCATCTGATGGGGCTGAAATCTTAATTACTGAACAAATAAAAAGCATTTATTAATGTTTACTATTTTTTCTCTGTCAGAAATAACACTTGCATTTTTAAATGCCCCTGGTTAGAGTTGACACTGCATTGGCCTTGATTACACGTAAAGAATTATGTGAATCTGAACAAAGCTCACATGAATATACCCAGACATCACTCTCACTGCAAATGGAGTTCTCATTTTATATGTTACTATATATCTCTATTTTGTCTCTATGTCTTCCCAAATATATATGTACATAGTGTGTCTATACAGACATTTTTGAACGAATGTAAAAAGAAAAAGGAAGGAAAGTTACTAATGAAAATAAAAGTGTACTTACGAAATCGAAGTCTCCATCTTGAGGAACTTTCCAGTTGTCGGGAAAAACATTTTTTGACATTGGGAATGGCTCATGTATGTTCTGATTACAGTTTTCATGACTCTTATTTTTGAAATCTTGTTTATCAAAATAATCCATAAAAGATGGTCTTTGCACTTGTGACGAAGTTGCATTTCCTTAGTTAAAAAGAAAATAGTCAAGGTTTAAGTATCGGTATTAAAATAATCTCATATCTATATTGTACTTTTTGCTTTATAAAAACATTTTTCTCATAACATCACTGTGAAATAGGTAGTTCAAGTATTATTATTCATACTGTACTATTGGGGAAAGTGAGGCTGAGATAAATGATTATTATAGAATCATCTAGTATTCTAGCTTGCAAGTGGCAGAAGGAATATTTGACTCTAAGGTCTCTTGACTATGCAAAAATATGAATTCCTAAATTATAGAATAAGTTTAAATTGTCCAAAAATAAATTAATAGCTACTCTACTCAATCTAACAGTGAAAAAATCCCACCTAACTAAAATTCAATTAGTGTTATTATAAAGAAGAGTTTTAAAACTACATGACATTTAAACTGTGAAAATGATTCAGAGGGTAAGAAGTACTCATTTTTGTACTACATTTTTTAAAATTAGAAAACTATTTTGAATACTTTGGAAATGAGTTAACACAATACTGTTGTAAATTACCTGTAAATCCTAAGCAATTTTGCCAGTATATATATATATATATATATACGGGGAGAGGAAGGAGGGGAAACAATATGCAAACAACTATGTACAGACAAATTACATACAGAGTAAATTGGAGATAATCTCAGATAGAAAGCACTAGCTTCATGAAGGAGGACTGGGAAAAAACTTCTTGCAGATGATGGGATTTTAGCTGAGACTTGAAGGAAGTCAGGGAAGCCAGGTGAAGGAAGTGAGAAGGGAAAGAATGCCAAACATGGGAGACAGTCAATAAACAACCATGGAGCCAGGAGATGGTGGTTTGCTTTTTTTGTTTGTTTGTTTGTTATTTTTGCAAAGAAAAGCAAGGAGGCTGATGTCACTGAATTGCAGAATATGTGGAGGAGAGTAAGGTATGAAGAGCCCGGAAGGGTAGAAAGGGGCCAGACTATGAAGGGCTTTAAATGCAAATGGGATTTTAGTTTTGATCCTGGAGACAACAGAGCACTGGTGGAGTTTCTGACCTGGTCAGACCTGAGTTTTAGGAAGATTACTTTGACAGTTGAGTGGAGGATGGAATGGAGTGGGGAGAAATTTGATGCATGGAGATCAACCTGAAAACTATTGCTATGGCTTAGGTGTGAAGTAAAGAAGGCCGGCACCACGGTAGTGTCAGTGTCAGTCAGAAAAGGGAAGGAGACTTAAAAGTGATGTTGTGAAAATTGAATTGAAATGGCAATAGACTGAATATGTGGGACAAGAAAAATCTGGTTTTAAGCCTGGGTGACTGGGAGGATGGTGGTACCCTCCACCATAACAGAGAAGTCAGAAAGAGTGTAAGACTTGTGGGGGGGGGCCAAGGAAATGGAAGTTGATAATTAGTTTGGTTTTGGACATTCTGAGTTTAAGATGTCTTTAGCACATCCAGACTGAGATGCCCAACAGGCAATTAGAGATTGTGACCAGAGGTCAGAAAGAATTTGGGGCTGGATAACTAGATCTGAGAATCATTTGCCTATGTAAATGGTGATATGTAAAAGGTGATAAAATTTTTAGATATATTTTCACATTAGTCATATAGTAAAGAAGAATGAGAACCAATAGGAGGAACCACAAGAAAGAAGAAACAAAACAAAACGGAAGAAAAAAAAAGAGTAAATAATACACTTCAATCTGCATTCAGATTCTATAGTTCCTTCTCTGGATGTGAATAGCATTTTCCATCATGATTCTTTTGGAGATATCTTAGATCCTTGCATTGCTAAGAAGAGCTAAGTCTATCAAAGTTAGTCATCGCACAATGTGGCTGTTATTGTGTACAACGTTCTCCTGGTTCTGCTCACTTCTCTCAGCATCAGTCCATATAAGTCTTTCCAGGTTTTTCTGAAGTCTGCCTGCTCATTATTTCTTATAGCACAATAGTATTCCATTACATTCATATACCACAACTTGTTCAGCCATTCCCCAATTGATGGGTATTCTCTCAATTTCCAATTCTTTGCCACCACAAAAAGAGCTGCTATAAATATTTTTGTACATGTGGGTCCTTTCCCCATTTTTATGATCTCTTTGGGATACAGCCCTAGAAGTGCTATTGCTGAGTCAAAGGGTATGCACATTTTTATAACCCTTTGGGCATGTGCTCTCCAAAATGGTTGGATCAGTTCACAACTCCACCAACAATGCATCAGCGTTCCAATTTCCCCACATCTTTGCCAACATTATGTCATGTTAGCCAACCTGACAGGTGTGATGTGGTACCTCAGAGTCATTTTGATTTGCATTTCTCTAATCAATAATAATCTTAGTTCTGTCTTAATGAACAGAACTAAAAGCAATGGGTAGAAGTTTTAGAGGGAAATTTGGCTTGATATAAAGAAAAACTTCCAACAATTAGAGCTGTCCAAAAATAGAATGAGCAAATTCAGAAGTTAGTAGGTTCCCCATTAGTGGGAGACTTATAGAAAAGCTTTTCAGGGATTCTTTTTCAGGAATAGGTTGTATTAGATTTAGACATGGAAGATTAGACCTTTCAGTTTTCTTCCTGTTCCAATATTCTGTAAGCTACTTCACTGTGCAACCTATGGCACTTTATGATACTCTGACATCTTGTTCCTCAGAGTTCATGACAAAGCAAGAGTCCACCAGGAAGACAAATGCAACTTTTGTGTTAATAAACATTTGTAAAGGATGAAGAAGTAGAGAAGTATTATGTGCTCCCTACATGTCTACCTTTCATGTATGATTACTTATGCACATAGTGTGTGAGCCTGTGGAAGTATGTGTTGCAGGTTTGGGGGAGATGGAAGAATATTCTTATGAAATTTTTCTTACCATACTCTTTTATTAAATTCCGTTAACTGAATTATGTTCTTTAGCTGACTAGAGAAAAAGGAAACACTTCAGTGGGAGTTATAAGCTATGTTTTTCAAAGGATATGGAACCAGAGGGTCTACCCTGACCTATGATAGCTTTTCAGAGGGCCCTATGGGGGAGAACGGGGTGCTCCAGGTACTATAAAAGTAATGTCTTAGAGACTATTAAAAGTATTTGGATCTACAGTAAGTAGCACCAGATTACTGTACTTTTCCAGCTTTTCTGACAGGTTTTTATAGTACTTTTCGTTTTCTCTGCTAGCTGTCATTTCTGATTGGCATCTTTAATTTAATCTGTTTATTTTATATACCTGATTGAGGTCTTAAGCACACTGCTCTATGCCTCTGAGTAAAACTATAGGCTTTCTATTAGTAGTCTGGTATCATACAACATAGGGGCAAACATTAAGGCAACTGCCCTACAATAAACAAAATTCAGTTTCAGGTCAAAGAATCATAATCTTAGCCCTTTCTAGAGGCAAATACTTTCTACTGACTTGCAATGTAGAGCCATATTTTGAATGTCTAAGCTTGTCAGAAGTTTGATCTCTAGGAAAGAGTAGTATTACTAGACAATGTAATTCATTTGCAGTTCTTTTCATATTTATATTTTATATCGTACTTGTTTTTGTGTCATTTGAATATGAACTTGTCTTCTTTCTCAAATGAAACTGGATATTCCCTAAAGGTAGGGTCCAACTATTTTCTAAAAACGTTTTGCACAGTTTCATACAGCATTTTAGAGTTGGAAAGGACCTCATTAGCTATCAAGTTAAACAAACTGAAAAAAGAATTCTTAATGCAACATATTCCATATATCATTACACACACTGTTCTTGAAGACTCTTAGTGAGAAAGAATCTTATACTTCCTTAAGCATCCAATTATACTTTTGTGTGTTTGGGTCTTCAAGATGTCCTTGAACCATAAGAAATATCCCATATGGACAAAGTGCATTGTTCCATAGGTGATGGACAGGGATAGAACAGCGAAATAGCCTACTTAGAAAGTATAGGAGGTAGGGCTACAGGTAAAAGGAAAAGAGGATATTTTGCCTTGCCTCCAACTCCAGCCAAAATGTAAGAGGCAGTCCTATCTCCCCTATTCTACAAAAGCTATAATAACTAGAAAGATTTTCCTGACATCAAGTATAAATTTGCCACTTTGCAACTACTACTCAATGATTCTTCTGGTTCTTGCCTTTTGCCTCTAGTTCTAAATATGACAAGTCTAACCCCTCTTACACATGATTACCTTTCAAATATTTGAAGACAGTGATGTTCTCCCTGAGTCTTCTCTACTTTCCAGTTCCTTTAGCTGATTCTCATGATACGAACTTTAAGTCCTTCATCATCCCAGCCACCCTTCTCTCGATACTATCTTATTGATGCCCTTTGTAAACTGTGATGACTAGAACTGAACACAATGCTCCAAATGTGCTATGTCTAGGGCAGAGTGCTAACTGAAATGATAGGTCTATCATTTCCTTATTCCTGAAAGCTATGCCTCTCTTAATGTAGCCAATTAGCAGTTTTATCTGCTACATTATACTGATGACTCATATTGAGATTGTAATTCAACACAACCCCCAACATCTGCCAAACTGCTGTCTTACCATTTCTTTTATATCTCATATTTGTGAAATCAATTTTTTAAATCCAAGTGTAAGATTTTCCTTCCTTCCTTTCACTGAGGACTGCTAGCAATTAAACTAGTTTCAAATCAACATAACTGTATTATCCAGCCCACATTTTTTCCCATAAGAATAGCATGAAAGACTTTATTAAGCACTTTCTTAAAATCAAGGTAAACTATAGCTATGTATATCATTCCTTTGATCTCTCAGTTTAGTAGTCATGTCAAAAAAGAATATAAAGTTAAGGAAACATGACATACTCATGATGATTCTTTGTGATCAACATTTCTTTTTTGAAATGTTCATTAACCATAACTTGTTTTAATAACCTATTCTAGAATTTTGCTAGAAACTGAAGTCCAGCTCACTGGCCTATGTTTTGTGGACTCTCTTCTCCTTTCTGAAAATCAATCCATATAGAATCAAAAAAGGTCGAGAATATCAATGAGAATAATAATATTTTTTAAAAGTGAGGAGGAAGGAGAC